AAATGAAGATGATGAAAATGCGCAGCAAAAGTGAATCGAAAATGCCAACGAGGCCAAGAAGCCAAGAAGCCAAGAGGCCAGAACAAGTGGCCAAGACTCGGGCTCGGTCCGTAAGTGGAGGCCTGAGCGGCCGCGTAAATGCGTTCGCTGATATCGTGGTATATAACAAGTCATCAGGAGTTTGCTTCGTTTGGTAGAGCAGATAATCACTGTCTCGCGGTAGGCAAGAGAAGCAGTTGCTGCAGCTGTTGTGCCCTCGACGACTGGCTCTGTCGGTGGTCCGTTTCAATCGGGGGGACAGATCCAGGCCATGCGCAGCATCGGTGCACACGTGCTCGGTTAACGTGCAGCGGTGATGGATTGTAGCTGCTATTGTTGCCGTTATGCCATCGATGGCGAGCTCTTCGTCGCCTCGTTGTGAAAATAAAAGGCTGACAACGAGTGAAGCCTACCGTGATCGCCGTGCTGCCGGCTGCCGGTTTCACTCGATCAGTGGCTTCTTCTGGCCGGCCACCATGCACAGGCCGAGATGACGGAGCGAGTCGCGGTCGTTGGCGAGGACAATGGTCCGGGCGGGGAGCATAGGGTTGTTGGGGTCGACCTGAGAAGCGTCCTTCGCGGCCTGCTCGATGGCATCCATTTCCTCCTTACAGGCTTGGTGATCGAGAGGGCAGATGACGATGGGTAACCGCAGGGTGATGTCGCGTGCTGAGCTCATTTGGGCCTGGACGTCAGTGGTGTCAGTGGTGTCAGTGGTTGCGGAACGGAAGAGACTGGAATGGACAAGGACAACAAAACAGTACAAGGGAAAGCTACCTTTATTGCCAAAAAGTACTCGACTTTGTAAAGAGTGGACGTGGTTGTAAAGGATGTCACCTCGTACATGGGAAAGGCCGGCTTCCCCCGGCGGATGATGCCGTCGCTGTCGCGCAGGTCGCGTGCCGGGAAGACGAGGCCGAGGTTCGTGACGTAGCCGGCCTCGGGCATTTTTAATTGCACGTTTTGTGTGTGCTTGGCAATCTTGTTGATCTTTTTGGTCGGTTCGTCACCTTCCGGGTTGAACGTGATCTCCTCTTCGATGCCCAGTGTAATCTTCTGGATGGTCACGCGCTTGGCTTTGCTGAGCCAGTCTGGATTCGGCGCCAGCTTGATGTATACGGTAATGGGGTCGAGCGGACCGTAGCTCCACCGCGGCAAGGAGATGGCCAGCGTCACGATGTTGTCGGCAGCCACGACGCGGTTCTCCTGCTTGTTGTACATGCCGAACGTCGACAGCGTGTCATAGCGCTGCAATGGGATGGGGAAGGCGTATTTGTTCTGCATGCTGGCTCCTTGCTGGACCGTGACCACGAGCTCGTAGTAGGTTTCGGCGATGCGGCTCGGCAGTTGTAATGAGGCGGGTGGTATGCGACGGTTCGATTCTTCGCCGCCGCGGCCGAATGGGATGAAGAGGACAAAGGGCAAATCCATGGCGATGACGTTTTCGGACTCTTTTCCCGGCGGACATCGGAAAAGGAGGAGTTCTTTGCCGACGACGTCAGTGGTGTCGCGGCGGGGGGTGCCCAGGTGCTTCTTGGCCATGTTGTCGGCGGCGGGATGAATGGTCTCGCGGCGCTGCAGGCATATTCGCACGAGCGACACGGCCACGGGCATAGAGAAGCCTTGTGACGGACGAATTTCGACCTTGCCTTCGATGCGAGGCTGTGTAGAGCCGGTTAGTGATGCAACGTCAGGAAAGAGGAGTGCTTGCTTTCTCAGTCTCAGCAAATTTGAAACGCACCAGAGTTGCAGAGATGCCCGGGTAGCCAACAAGGAAGTTGCTGTTGGGCGGGCCCGAGACCCTCACAAAGGCAGCCATGGTGCTCGCGGCCCCCGAGGGTCCAGAGGGTAGCGGCGGCGACGGAAGCGGGCACGGAGGATGCCGGGACAGAGACGGCCGTGCCGTGCGGGACCTGGGTGTGCGACAAGCGCCAGCAGGTAGGAGAGGAGAGGCAGGGAGGGCGAGGGGAGGTCAACAGCAAAAGGAGCTGTGGATGCCGCGGCTACCGTGGACGCGGTCGAGGTCGAGAGAAGGAGATCAAGCGGCCTGGATGGCAACGGCGCGTCGGAGTGAGCGAATGGTCGTCGAAGTGGCGGTCCGTGAGGCTGCGGTGTCGTCGTTTTGTCTTTTGAGCGTCAACCGACGAAAACCAAAAAACGGCACCTCTATTCGCACCCGGCCGACGTCTGTTCTCGTCGCGGCCAGGTCCTGATCGCCTTGTCCGGACGGAGGCGTTGGCGGGTGTGGCTGTGGTGGAGCGATCGGACTCTGGAGTGCGCAAAGTGGCATCGGACGTGGTGCCCAGCGCGGGCGATGGACGGTCGAGGCCGCGTTCGTGGTCGCGCGTGTAGTCGCAGTCGCAGTCGCAGCGCAGTCGACGTCGCCAGAAATCTGAGACGATCAAAGAGGTTGCGGAAGAAGAAATCAGAATGTCGTCAGATCAGGCTTTCGTCGTAGTCTTGGCTGCTGGCTGACGCTGATCGATCCTGTTGGCAGGGCGCTGTTTGACGCTGCGGCTGCCACAATGTGGGGTATTGTTTGCGAAACGGGCCAAGTGCTGTTGTTGTCCCCGTCCAAGAGCTCGCTAGTCCTATGCTGCGGTGCGCTGTTGGAGTTGTCCTGTTGTTCTATCGGCTGGGAACTAGAGTAATACAACAAAGGCTGTTCTGTTGCATCCAAGAGCGCTAAGCGCCCTTGCAATTTCTCCGTCACTAATTGGCTTGGGCCAGGCGAAACACCCGGTCCGCTGTTTCTGGTGGGACAGTCGGCTTGGTTTTGCAGCGTTGGAGGGCGAGAGAGGTTTGAGCGGAGGAAAAGACAAAACCCAATCGAAATCAGGAAATGAGGATCGAAAATAGAGTCAACAGATGGTGTTGACAGGCAAGGCGGAATGATGCACCTTCTGGGGCAGGCACGACTGTGGTGTGCTGTGAGGTGCTGGTGCTGCTGCAGGCAGGTGCAGCAACAGTAGTTGGCTGGTCCCCGTAGTGCGGAAGGTGCAAGCGTGCAGCGCAGTCTCTCACTATTTTCAACCTCGTTTTCGTCGCTTTGTTTTTTGTGTTTCCTATTTCCTGTTTACGTCGTACACACTACCCATGCCAGTATGTGTGGGAAAGACGGCCTGTAGCGAACTGCGCCTGCCTCTTTGCCTCTGCAGCTCCTTCCTTCGTGGGCCTCTTTCCTGTCTGACGACGGGCATGCCTTCCTCTTTTGATGTTTGCGGCGGTTTTGCACACCGTTCCTTGAAAGCCCTTTCTTATTTGATGTAATTTTCAAGGGATCGACTCCGGTACCTCCTTCCCCAATCCCACGCCCTCACGCACACTCCAACCGCAAGCCGCCCCTCCCGCAATACGCCCCTGCCATCCTTCCCATCCATAGGGCTGTTTTTCGGACTGCAGCGGACGGCAGAGTTGGCCGACCGCATCAAGTCTCCCGCACTCTCCGCGCACACAACGCTCGTCACGCTTGAGCCTTTATACGCTGACAAAACTTATCCACCACTCTCCATACGTTTCCAGAGGACGTGGCCAGTAAACAACACTGACGAGCAGCAACATTACCCCAGGCTCCGAACAGAGTCTGTTGCCGTTTTCATAGTATACCAGCGTCTCAAAAAACACATTTCTGATGGCGTTGACTCCTCCAGAGTTTGGCTATTGTTGGTCAACGATCACCGTGAAAACTCCCTTGTTTGACAGTTTTGGTGAGCTCTACCATCCAGACACTTGAGCCTTTACTGCCAGAGAGCCGCAAACTGCGTATTCCGTACAGCTGGACACACTATATGGACAGCTGCGCATCTGCAAAATGGAGGCCGGCATTGGGTGCTCTTTGGAACCTGGGCTCTCTCGACTCTCGTTTTGCGGTGCTCCTGCAGACTTGCCAACCTCACCCCCCGCCTGCACTCCAGTCAGGGTCCTCACCATTGGGCCACCTGGCCTGGCCGACGTCACATCGTAGCGGCGAAGGCGACGGTGCTGGCAACCCAATGACCGCCCACCCGAACCACCGCAGCCGTCATCAAGCGCTTCGCTCCTCTTTTGCTGTTCCATGTGCACACGTGACGTTGAACGTGAGCTGGACACATTGACAAGCATCACGACACTCGGAGCAGGCCATTGTATCTTGTCATCTTCTTTCGTCACTTCTCATCATTGTTGCAGAGGCCATCATCTTGTCAGCAAGTCACTGTGCCACCTCCATCCAAGTATGTGCGGCTGAAGGAAGCGGGATGGCAACTTGGACTTGGTTTGCTCTCCTCAGCACGCTGGGGCTTAGCTGCAGTCGTGCACTAGCATAAGGCTTTCTCTGGTCTTTTGTGAATTTCTTTGCGAAACACACCCTCGCCAACCCAAATTCTACAGATATTCTCATCTTGGGTTCCCGTAGCATCAACCCGCCGCACCAAATCAAATAATCTTACAACTATGAGGAGAATGCGGACTAAGTGGACATTGTCGTGAGATGACGATGACTTTGTCTTTTCGCATGCCGTCCAGAGTACTGTGTCATATTTTTCGGCACTCGTAGTCCTTCTTCACGGGCGACTGTAATTATTTGAGAATATGGACTTCCTGACATATGTTGTGAAGTGCAGAGATTAGTTGTGAGAGTTTGACAGCCATGAAAATCAACAAGACATACCGTGCCCGAAGTATTTTGCACATAGTAAATGCACTGTGTGGTCTTACCTCCAGCTCCATTGTACAACACGTGATTATTTAATGACCAGGGCAATTGAGGGCTCGAAGCCCTTGGCCCCGCCAATGAGAGGCGCGTGGGCTCCTGCCCCAACAACTAGCGTATTTTCTCCCAATTAAATTTTTTTTTCCGCATTAGCTTGTCATTTCTGCTGTTTCCCAAGTAGTTGATTTTCCATGCAGCGGGTTTTGTATCGTTACTTTTTTCTCCATTCTCCCATCACGACCACCTCGACAACCACATCACAACCGCCAACATGGGTAAGGGAATGTAAGTATCATACACACGAGCAGAAGGAAGGGGAGGAGAAGAAAGGATGGAGAGAGGGCATTGTCACTGGCCATTGCGGCGAGTGGACGTGGAGGACGGAAAGAGAACCAAAAACAGGACGACGAGACACATCACGAACATCAACTGACTCTTGCTCTCCCCTCCTTCAGGAAGAAGCACCAGAAGCGCCTTAGCGCGCCCTCGCACTGGCTCCTGGACAAACTGTCCGGTGTCTACGCACCCAAGGCCTCCCCCGGCCCGCACAAGTCCCGCGAGTGCCTGCCGCTCATCATCTTCCTGCGCAACCGCCTCAAGTACGCGCTCAACTTCCGCGAGACGCGCGCCATCCTGCAGCAGCGCCTGATCAAGGTCGACCACAAGGTCCGCACGGACATGACCTACCCCACTGGCTTCATGGACGTCATCGGCATCGAGAAGACCGGCGAGAACTTCCGCCTGATCTACGACACCAAGGGCCGCTTCACCGTCCACCGCATCCAGGAGGAGGAGGCTGAGTACAAGCTCGGCAAGGTCCGCCGCGTCCAGCTCGGCCGCGGTGGCATTCCATTCTTGGTTACGCATGATGCGAGAACGTACGTTTTTTTGTTCCCCCACAAAACAGAAAACGATCTCTTTCTCTGCAATCTATCAGCCGTTGGATCAAGCTTTGGAAGGCCGCTCGACGGGGACGAGGATACGGGCAAAAGAAGGCTCCATTGGAAAAAGAGAGAATGAGCAGGAATGAAAGAGGAGATGAGAGGTGAGGCGACAGCCGTCGGCGGCGTCGTTCGAGAGACAGTGTTGAGAGAGTGTTGACGAACGGTGCGTAGAGACGCATGGCGACAGAACGGAGAAGGGCAGGGAACTCTGCAGAGGGGCTGCGTGTGCCGTTCGCCGGGGCACGTAGTTTCCTAGGCTGTAGTTTTTTGCACCTGGGGGCGGCTAGCATGCAGCTCTGACGGAGAACCCTTTCCTTTTCACTCTGTCGGCAGTCTTCTCTCCGCTGCCTTGATGGCATACTTCTCATCACACTTCACACACCACGTCTCTCACTCTCTCTCTCTTCTATTCTCACATCTTTGGCAGTCCTTCTGTCCCGTCGTCCTGTCCCCAAGAGTGGCTGGAAGGAATGCTTGGAACAGCGGCTGGTAGGTTCTCCCTGGTCCCCTACTTGAAATCTAACATGTTCTCTTTTACAGCATCCGCTACCCTGACCCGGCCATCAAGGTCAACGACACCGTCAAGATCGACCTTGCCACTGGCAAGATCACCGACTTTGTCAAGTTCGACACCGGCGCCCTGGCCATGGTCACTGGCGGCCGCAACATGGGTCGTGTTGGTGTCATCACCCACCGTGAGCGCCACGACGGTGGTTTCAACATTGTCCACCTCAAGGACGCCATCGACAACTCGTTCGCCACCCGTGAGGCCAACGTGTTTGTCATCGGCACGGAGAAGCCCTGGATCTCGCTGCCCAAGGGCCGCGGTGTCAAGCTGTCGATCGCCGAGGAGCGCGACCGCCGGCGCGCCAAGGGCAACTAAGCGTTTCGCTCTCGATTTGTGACGTCTTAGCTGTGCTTGCTGTGCGTTGTGTGTTCCCTGTTCCATGGTGAATGATGAAAAAGGAAAAATATGGCGAGGATCGGCGTTGTTTGTTTACGTCTTTGGTCGACTTCTCTGGAAAAGGGTTGGCGATGCCCCCAAAGCCGAGTACGCACATCTCGTGTACCTCCTGCTGTAGCTGTCTGCCTCACCCTTTGGGCAAGCCGCGGATCCATTGCTTAGTTATAATGCCCGTGGCCGAAAAGAAGAAAAAAATGCCAAATTTATGAAATCATGACATTTTGTCTACGTGTAAAGTGAAGTGACCCGGAGTGCGCTCTGTCTGGCTTGTCGACGAGGAAGCCGCTCACATACGAGTGCTGCTGTACCTTTCTCTGTCTCTGTACATTGCCTCGGTAGTCGACGATGTTGTCGGTGTTTCTTCACCGTCTCTGTTGTCACATCACACATGGAGCAGGGCATGGGGGTTTCCACGAGGGCAGCAAATCGCTGGCAAACATTCTGTTTTCACACATATTACTAAACCGTCTCAGTGTCAACGTACATCCTTCATACAATTTTTGTATTATTATTCTTTCATTCCTTCATCCCGCACTGCCTGGCGGTGAGCGAACGGTGCATGTCGGCATGCATCAACCCCCTTTTGCTGCAATCAAACGTGGGGGCTCTCCAAAGCATGGGATGCGGTGCCAATGGCCCAAGAGACATTCTTGCGAAGGAGTTCATAGACAAGAGGAAAGTAAAAGGCAATGTTACGAGGCAATGCTACGAGGCAATCTGCTTAACCTTTCCATGGCGTATCTCGGCAGCGGAACTCTGCACGCCCTCGGTGCATTCTTGCGTCATTCACTGAGTATCGTCTTGGACTGAGTCGTGCCAATTTTGATGCTTCACATATCCTTAAAACGATGTGCCCCCATCTCATCCTCCTACTTATGTAACAGGACGACTAACAACGAGAGTCCTATGTTAGACGTACCGAGGGGAGGGCCGAGAAGATGGCATCTGAGAGGATATCGTGGTAGACTCGATTGCGCCATTTTGAGCCCAGAGTTGAACTGTTTCCATCCCACGCTCTCGACTTCTGCCGCGTTTTCTCCTTGTATTTGTCCTTCCGTCACCGCATGTTCTCTGGAACGGTCGACGTGCACCTTGCTGGTACGGCATGGTCGAGACCAATCCAGGCCGTATTTGGTCTCCCGCGTCGTCTGTTCCCGGGATCTTTTAAGTGTTTGAGAGAATTAGCTTTGCTTGACAAATACACCGGTCGATCTGCCTACAATTCTGACCATTATTTGCCGTGTGCACTACCCATAATCATCCCATGGGCGAGGAAGCGCATTGCCCGCTGAAAGATACAACTCTGCCACAAGGTCTCCGTTCCCATTTACCCAGCAGAGCCTCGTCCGTTCAGTTGCCTGCCGAGGCGATGCAGTGCATGAAAACGATGTAATAGAATTTTTCGCGGGCCTTTCAACGCAAAATTATTCCGGGTTTCATGTACCGGGAAAATGTTATGTTTATTTTTTGTTTTTTTAGTTTTGTAATCTCGTGACTGCCCAACATACATGTTCCGTGCAGAAAGAATGACTCGAGTTCCTTGGTCTCTCTCCTACACGGCGTGATTATTCGTTTTTGTCTTTTCGTGGTGGTCAGCTCGCCTGCGGCACGGCATGCAAGCGAGAGAAAACGGACAGCAGATTGCAGCTACGCCCGGATGCCTCCATTCAGGACGACGGCAAAATCGGTTCTGTGCGTCGTAGGAGCGATGCTTGTGGTTAGCATCTTATACTCTCGCAGCACCGGCTGCACCCCGTATAACGTTGCAGCATCCCCATACTCTGTCTGCAGTCCCTCTTTGCCCTCCACCCATTACGAGAAAGTGGTCTCGTGGCCACTACCTGCATTTGACGAAAACAACACTCAAGAGCACAACATCAAGCGGTCCACGCACCCCGAAAAAGAGTCCAAAGAAACAGAAGAGATCGCTGGCTGGATCCCACAAAAGATCGGCTGCAATCCGTAATTGCGGACCACGTGGTACAGCGGACGTGCAGGTGAGGCGTGCAGTGCATCAAATGGTGCATTTTGCAGGTGCAATACGACACCAAAACGAGGAGAAGGAATTTTAAAGGAGTATATAGTAGGACGAACAGCAAGGCAAGAAGGGAGTAATACTCCGAACATGGCAAGGAGAGCTCGTTACCAGGCTCGAGGTAATTCACAGTACGTTAGAGGCAACAGGGCCGAAAACGACGAGAGAACACGCCCGGGCTGCAACCTTCCCAGAGTCATACAAAGAGTAATGGAATGGGGAACGTCAGTCGGGTGAGGGGAAGAGAGTGCTGCTTTCTTCGGCACAAGCTGCCGTGTTCGAGGGGGCGCCTGTCTCGTGCCATTTGCTCTGCACGCTTTGCAGCCCGCAACGGTCTGGCATCCCTCATTCTCTCTTGGCTGTCGTACCAGGGGCACGGGACCAGGTCTGTCACATATCATGCTGATCCGCAGCCCTCCGAGTCATTCTGAAAATCAAAAGGAACAACTGGAGCACGATGTACTCCGTACGATGTACTCAGTGAAACATGAAATCCACAAACGGGCTGCTTCCGTATGTCGAAAATTGCTCTCATTTGTTTTCGCCCCGGTGGCGGTGGAGATCTTTCCCCGTTCGCAACGGCCGACAAGCGGGCTGGGCAGCAGGGGTCTTGTCGTCGGTGATGGGTTTCCGACGCAGACAGCCACAAATGTGTCCTGTGGCGGCCAACTGGTCCCAATGTGGGATGTGACCGAACAGGGATTGCCAGCTTGGCTCGGTGTGCGCTCTCACAATACGAAATGCACCTCGACCGTTGCCTCTTTTGCCTTCACCGACAGTCGCTGCAGCCTTGTTTTTCGTCGACTGTCGGCCTCGCCGTCCGGTGTTTCAAAGTCCAGAGCGACAATGCTGTGGTCGCATTGGAGTCAACTATTTTCCTTTTCACTCCGAGCAGCAGACGCATGTTGGCTCTCCGTTTACTTCCAGTCACTCCCGGATGTTGTGGTGCTGGACGCTGCACAACAGGCATCACCATTTGACTGACTCTTCATTTCGTGCGACCTCGTGCGACCTGCTTTGCTGCTGAGCTGTAATTAGGTCGCACGCTGACACGGTTCCCCGCCTTTGCCCCAGAAAATGAATTGTCTGAGTCTAGGTCTGGGCCACAGTCGTACAGCATATTCGTATCTGTCCGGGACGTGTGGATTTCTTTTTCCTGTATGTCGTACTCTGTGCGCTATAGTCTCTGACTTCACGTTCGATGTCCTGTGTCTGTTGGTAAGAGCCTGTTGGTCTTGGTAAGCCGACAACCCGTTTGTGTCGTATTGGATATGCACTGGCCACAGCAGGTCGTGAAACCGTCACCCGGACTGACAGGACAGAGAACGTAAAACTAGGGGCTGCAGGCAAGAATAAAAATAGAGTAAATAAATCAAAGGAAAAGAAAACAGCGGTGTGATGGGAACACAACAGGGCTACGAACGAGGAGGAGGCATGGGAAAAGCAAAACAAAGTGTTCTCCAGCTCACCACAAAAGCCAATACCTCCTGTATGTCGTCGGCGCCCGATTGGGTTCCCATGTCAGTGCAAGTTTCGCAATGAGTGCCTTCAGCCGATAACCAGCCACCAAGACCGGGTTCCGCAGCGTTGTTTGTCTGATGGTATGAATATCTGGTATATGTGCAAATACTTACATTTGTTTGAATGCCTGTGAAAGAGTCGTTTTGGCGCATGTCGCTGCAGCGGAGACGTAGTAGGCCCATGAACAAGCTCTGCAACCAGACACAGGGCCGTTCCCCATACATGTCGGCGCCGCAAGCGACCGCGCTTCTGGTGTCATTGCTGCGGAGGGTAGCCAGCTCGTTGTATCTCTTCCCACACAAAAATGCAACGTCGTGAGATTAGGAATCTGGGTTGCGACAAAGGGAAAGCACCAACCACGCATGGGCTGACAAGGGTAGGGCGTACAAAAAGAAAGAGCGGACGGCTAAAGATGCTCAAAAGGAAGGGACTGCAGCAAATGAAGACGAGTCAAACACTTCCAATATAGGAAACAGCTCTGTGGGCGTGAAGACCAGCAAAAGACGGTGCCTCCTTCCAGAGCACACCCGTGTCAAAACAATACCGAGCCAGTAATTGCTCCATTCAATGCCCCTCCTTTCCGTATGCTTCCTCGCCCCTTCCCTCGCGCCTGTCTCATTGTCTCTTTTTCGCCTTTCGGGGAAAGAACCACCAAAATAGCAACATAACGAAAGAACGATGGACACAAACAGAAAAAAAAGCTCGTCCACAAAAAGGAAAGACCAAACCGAGCACAGATGTGGCTTGAATAGGACATCCAGACTTTCGTCTACGTCACCAAGACTTCTTCATCTTCTTCTGCCTCTCAGCTTCTAGACCCTCGCATGCAGACTTTTCCCATCAACAAATATAAGTTACCCGATTCGTAACGCCCACTCGTGCCCAACGGAGTCTGTCACGGAGACCCTCTCGCACTGTTTCTGCGGTGGCCTCCCTTGCCAGCTGTTGAGAAAATACTGGATTCACTCGACATTCCAAAGACCCTTTTTTTCTTTTCATCTTCTCTTTTCTCGTATTTTTCTATTTTATTCCAGCCGCAGATTACCGACCTACAGACGGCCAACTTTCGAATTCTCTCCCTCCCGAACCTCAGTTGGCCTTGCGCTCTGCTGCCTTTGTCCCGTGTGTTCTTTTCTCCTTTCGGTTGTGTCCTGAAAGGCCTTTCATCGTGTAAGTTGGCAGTCTCCTTCCCAGCTGTACCTAGCCGTGTCCCCATACAGAAGAGCAACTACTGTACAGCTAGCGTGTGTTGGTGGAACAGAGGGGCAAGAAGAAAGGAAGAGTTCGAGGAAGCTCAGACCCTTTCCACTCTTATATAAACATCTCATCACTCGCACTTTATTCTTTTGCCAGCCTTCCATACGAGCCCAAGCCTTCTTTTCCCTCGCCCTTGGTTTTCCTTTTTTCTTTTTTCTTCTTCTTTCTTTCTTTCTCCCTTGTTTCTACACATCTACTCTGCCCCCTTTCTTCTCTTGTTGCTTTATCTCTCGCTGCTCACACCTTGTCGCTCGCTTACTTTCGTCCCTCGTGACCCCTCGTTCTGGAAGGGTCTTGATACTAAACGACAAGCCGCTCCCCACAACTTACAATACGGAACTAAAACGACTCCGATTTAGTACAGAGAAGCGAAAACAAACTCGGTGGCTCTGGAGGAGGGTCCTCAAGAGAAGTAGGCCCGAACGAAGACGCCATAAAGAGCGCCGTTCCCCTCTTTACCAAAGCCGTTGTGCCATCCACGGCCTGTTCCGCACATTTCCAACGGGAGGGAAAACGAACATAACTCTGCTTTTATAACGTATCTGTGTTCCTCAGTTGGGTGTTCATCTTGGCAGACAATGCAACGACTCGTCGAGAACAAGAATCCTTGACAACCCCAGAAGGACGAAAAAGGAAAAGGGAAGCAAGACCAGCATCTGTGATCCAAGCGCCAGTGCGCATGACAAGTCGAATACGTACCGCCAAGGACCCCCGGCTACAAAACGTCGTGCCGGAAAATCGGTCGCGCTTGTCGCTCAACACGGCACAGTCTTGTTTCGGAAGATAGAAAGGGAAAGCCGAAATCACGAGAAGGGTAAAAGAGGGCATCAGAGCAGTCACACCTCGTCCTTCTTGTCGTCCTGCCTCTTTCTGGCCTTGACATGAACGGTGGCAGCAACTTTGGAATACAAATTGCAGAAACAATTACACGATGGCTTCACCCGTCCTAAGCCGAGCGGCAGCCTCGTTTGCCCGCTCTTGCAGCAGACCGGCAACATCAGCCACAGAGACGCTACGAAATACTTCACCAATATCCAGACTCATCAGGCAACGAACATTCTCTGCATTTGCGCCCCGGCGCCAACAGTCAAGTTCACCGACGGCAACAAAGTCAAGGTCAACACCAAAACCATCAACATCAACGGCTGGCACCACAGCGACGGCTTCCCCAATCTCCTGGTGGACGGGCCAGCGAGCTTTCGCCGCTGCGGCCGCTGCTGGTTTGGCTGGCTGGGGTCTGGCGGCCGTCTACTTTGGCGGCTGGCGCGGTGGCGCGGCCATGCGACTCGACAGCGAGCGCACGACCGTATCGCGCTACGCCGACATGCGGGGCATGGAGGTCGCCATCGATGATATCCGCAGGGAGATCAAGACAGCCGGATTTGAAAACAGCGATGACATTATTTCCACCGACCCAGAGGATCTGCTTGCTCACGGCTATTCCGAATGGTCCAGCACAAACCCGGACGGCCTACCGGTCGCCGTGGCGTATCCGCGGTCTACCGAGCAGGTATCCATCATCATGCGTATATGCCACGCCCACCGCGTGCCGGTGATCCCCTTCTCTGGCGGCTCGAGTCTCGAAGGCAACTTTTCCGCGCCCTACGGTGGCATCAGCGTCGACTTTGCCTACATGGACCAGATCATACAGTTCAACAAGAGCGATATGGACATCGTCGTGCAGCCAAGCATCGGCTGGCAGGACCTCAACGACCAGCTGGCGACTATGGACAGCGGCCTCTTCTTCCCCATTGATCCTGGCCCGAGCGCCAAGATTGGCGGCATGATCGGTACAAACTGCTCCGGCACCAATGCCGTGAAATACGGCACGATGAAGGACTGGGTCATCAACCTGACTGTCGTGCTGGCCGACGGTACCGTCATCAAGACCCGCCGCCGCCCACGCAAGTCGTCTGCTGGCTACAACCTCAACAGTCTCTTTGTCGGCTCCGAGGGCACTTTGGGCCTAGTCACGGAAGCGACGCTCAAGCTGACCGTCATACCCGAGGAGCTGTCCGTGGCCGTTGTGACATTCCCCACCATTCGCGATGCAGCGTCGGCTGCCGCCGAGGTCATGCAGACCGGCATACCCGTCGCTGCCATGGAGATCATGGACGAGGTCCAGATGCATGTCGTAAACCTTGGTGGCGCCACCGCGCCCCGCGTGTGGAAAGAGATGCCTACGCTCTTCTTCAAGTTTGCCGGCACCAAGGCCAGCGTGCGCGACAATATTCAGAACGTCGCCAAGATTACAGCTCGCAACCGCGGCTCCAACTTTGAGTTTGCCAAGGACGCCCGTGAGCAGAAGCTTTTGTGGTCCGCGCGCAAAGAGTCCTTGTGGTCCATGCTGGCGCTGCGCAAGGCCGGCGAGGAGGTGTGGAGCACCGACGTGGCCGTGCCGTTCAGCCGCCTGGCCGACATCATCGAGGTCAGCAAGAAGGAGATGGACGATCTGGGCTTGTTTGCCAGCATTCTGGGCCACATTGGCGACGGCAACTTCCATGAGAGCATCATCTACAACCGTGCCGACGTGGGCGAGCGCGCCAAGGTCGAAGCGTGTGTCAAGAACATGGTCAAGCGCGCGCTGGACATGGAGGGCACCTGCACGGGAGAGCACTCTATCGGCTGGGGCAAGAAGGACTCGCTCCTGCTCGAAGTCGGGCCGGCGACCTTGGGCGTTATGAAGGCCATCAAGGCGGCTCTGGACCCGCACTGGATTTTGTATGTCATCCTCTTCGCCGCCTCTCGCCTCTCCCCTTTACCTCCATGCTAATACTAACCATATAGGAACCCTGGCAAGATCTTTGACCAGCAATACCTTGTCCAGGCGTAGCAGTGGGGTTGGAATGAGACACGACGAGCTGTGCAAAAGCAGGTGCGCCGAGAGTGAGAGGAGAAGACTGAAAGGTTTTTTTATTTTATTTCATATTCGATCCATTTATTCTCTGTTTATTTGCATCATATCATCGATTCCCTATTTCTTTTTTATCTATACGTCATAAGGGCAACCATATCATAATTCACGGTACAGTCGGTGAATGTGGATGACCATCGTCGTCGACGAAATGTGGGAATGGAAAAATATGCGGAAATATCGCTCGGGGTGAGGGCCGTTAATTTTCGTTGGTATTTATTTTCCTTTCCATTCTTTCTTATTTATATCACTGATATTCTATGGCTATTCTCACATATGTCGCCTTCTTGTTTCTCCTAACAGTTTACGTTCTCTGAATTGTTTGTAACTCAACTGACATCATCGTAGTGTCGGTATCGTTGCAGGCGGCGGTTTGGCACTTGTTCGTGTTTCCTACCACGTAACATCCATATTGCATTGGTTTTCGTATTTCTGTTTGTATTTCGCCATTCTCCTTTTTTCAAACTGGCAGAGTCCATTTTGCACGCATTGCGTTTCAGGACTGCCTTGATAAACAGACAGACCCAGGTTTGTATAAACTTCTTAAGCTAACCAGACACGACTCCCTCTTGTACGAGACTGAAATGAAAGTCACGATACCCAGGGATTCAGACTGTTCGAGAGCCGAGGCGCTGTTCATGACGACGTGACACTATCGCACTTATCCGCGATTTCCAGCGACCAGCACACCTATGCCTTCCACTTCGACACAGGTAACTGCCTTGATGTTTTGGTATTTAATTTTTCAACCCAAGGTAAAACTGGTACCTTTTCGCGGTGTCCTGGACACGTATTGGTTTTAGTAAGGAAACCAAGACCAGTCTACCATTGTGTCCGTCGTTCTGTCCATCTGCCGTTCTGCCGTGTTTATGATCATGTCCTCTGCTATGCTACCTCCAGTCTTTCCACGGCCAATACCAAGCCGTATTGTTCTTGTCGACTTTTTGGTCGACATTTCGGTCTTTGTTTTGGTCTTCTTTTTGTCCCTCCTCTTGCTTCCCTCTGTCCAGCGTCTTCACCACAGACCTTGCATATTCAACGTAATTTCTTGACTCGTCGCCTGCACATCCATAGACCGCTGTCAGACACTGCGCATACTTGGGAAGCAGCTCCTTCAGACGCTTGGCCGCCGCATGTGCGAAGCATCGGTCACGGAACGCGTGGAAATTAATGACATCCCAGATGAGCTCTTGCACCAGACGTCCTTTTAGGACATCCGCTTGGGCCGGCAAATTAGAATGTTTTGCGAGCAGCTGCATCTGAACGTTGCATCTGTGCATGAGTACAGAGCACATGGAAAAATATGCATCTTCCTCGTCCACCTCGTCGCCGTCGCCGTCGGCGGCCAACGTGGCGCTCACTTTCACCAACATGCTGACCAGCAGCTCCGTCGTTTGATCGTAGCCTTGTTCAGGCAAGAGAGCGATCGTGCCGCCCAGTCCCTCTAGTATGTTGACGAGCCTGTCGGCTTGCCGGAAGGCCGTTCTTTTGCCCTCCTCTTTATTTTTAGCTGCAACATAATCGTCGAGAATAAGCTTGTGCGTATTCAGGATGCTCTTCCGAATGAACGACAGCATTTCCTTGGTCATGTTGACTGTATTCTCAAGGCTCTTGTTGCTGTCGGGGTTGAGGTCCGGGTATGATGAAGAGAACGGGCCGTCGCCGACAACCGTGTATTCGCTTGTGTCGGACATGGCGTGGAACGAGAGGATCAGAATGGGCTCGTTGTCGGGAAGCTGGATGACTTTGCGGTGAATTTGGCGAATTTGGTGAACTGGATGATGATGCTGGATAGACAGCGGACAACACAAAACGTTGGAAACGGGGGATGGCGACCAGCTAGTCAAAACGGCAACCGGCCCTTTTCATCTCAAGGAGTTGTTAGCACACGTAACACAACACTTGTGCTGAGTGAGAGACGGCGACGTATGATTGTATGTACTCGTCTTTCAGGCTACAGTATGGCGTTATGGCCACAGGAACCTAATTATCCAGGAGTCATGGAGTACGTATCTTGCTGTGCCGATGTTGGTGGGTTTGGCCGTGTCAGGGGCTTGCAGCACGTGCTTCGTCACAGAAGGGACAATTATAGACTATGGCATCGAAGTAAGCGTGATACATGATCGACTGTTTTGTTCTTGTTCGTTCTTTTATGTTCTTTTTTTCTCTGGCTTTTAACTAGTGCTAACCACCACGTCCTATCATCCCTTTAACACCTTTTAAATGTAGGTTGTAGCGACCGTGACTATATTCGACTCCTTACTGCCTGGCAGACTTTTATGCGACGGGTAATCATGGTGCACGACCCGCCTACGTTGACGGACTTCGTTATGGATGATCAATAGCTTGGTATTACTAGATTGTACGAATAGACAAGCTGGATGGCAGGCGGTGCTGGCCATGGTCATGGCGTTGACTGTGCGCTTACCGCACCCCGTGCAACGGATTATTTCACGCGTCCCTTCCATTCTGGGCAATTACACGTACATCCGCGCGCTCAATAGAATGTTTCACGCGTCCCTTCCATTTTGGGCAATTTCATGCCCACGTCTCCACGTATGTTGTACCTAAAGCAAATTCGAATCGATGCTCGTAGGAGCTGTAGAGACGCCAGCTTCTTTTTTTTTTTGTTCTGAGCCAGAGCAACACCAGGATCAGCAGCAACCACAACAACCACAGCCATGTCGACTTTCCTGACGAGTACGGTGACCCCCCCCCTCCCCCCCCGACACAGACCAGGTCCGCATCCGCGTCCTTGAAGCCGAGCTAGCCGAGTGCCGTAGGAAGGGAGAGACGACGACGCAGTGGACGACAATCCTCGTGACCGCTGCGCTGACGCTGGTGATCCTGGTGGCCAACACACTGTTCGGTTAGTACCTCAACACGTACCACGGCCAAGCTCAACCCCATACCACCTCGTCAGCTGCCGAGCCGGCTGCCTCTCACTCCCAGAACGAGGATGAAGGGGGGGTTGACTCGTCCAACTCTGCGGAGTCCGGTACTTCGTTGCCGGATGATGACGCAACCCGGACCGAGCTGGGAAAGGGGCAGTCGGCAAAGCAGCCGGCGAGACCGGGGCGGGAAACAAGATCGCGAAAAAAACGATAGGTAAGTTATTGTGCACAAACATGTCCCCAGTGGTAGGCCACTCCCTCGTCTCTTGCCCCACAATTCCACAAGACACAAACGCCCATTCAACAATTGACCTCCGTCTCACCTCTCCCACTTCCCTTCGTCACATTACATTTTCACGATACACATGCTACCGTGACGAGGTATCCTTTGACCTGCCACCATGGCCGGCCACGTCGATGGCAGCACCACTAAGAATGGCAGTGCCGCAGAGAACCCGCCTTCTGGTGCCGAGAACAAGCCACCTCACCCTGCCGCTTGGCGCGGCCGCGGCTTTGTCTCCATGACCCTCATACTCGGCTCTCTCCCACCTCAGACCACCACTCTCGATATTTACAAGTCCATGATGCCGCTAACCATCACGTCCATTGATATCCTGGAGGACAATCGCGGCGAGCACTCGGGTACCGCCCGCGTGCGGATGGTGCCTCCGGACCACGACTACTGGTACGACCGCTGCTGGCGTCTCGAGCTGGAGGATACCACGGCACCATACCGCATTGCCAGGGTGTCGGCTCGTGTCGACAACTACGGCTTCCGCTCGGCCACGGAGGAAAGCGTCAAGACGCCGCTCAACAAATGGGTCCCGGCCCGCAAGGAGATCGAGCTAGCCCTGCTTGGCCAGGGGTTTATGCGCCAGAAGCGTGCCATGATGGTGATGGACCAAGTTGAGCACGACGGTGAGGACGTGCTGGTCAAGCTGCGTGTCAACTTTAGCCGCCGCGACCTATCCATTTTTGTGACACGCGTCCTGGAGGAGACGTCACCACCAAACAGCGGCGAAGGCACAAACGACAACCCACGTCCGCCGCCGCGCCGTCTCAAGGCCGAGTACCGCATCGACATTCGCTTTTCTTGGGTCAAGAACATTTGGGAGCAGCAGCTCCCTGGCGGACGCCTCTGCGTCGCTCTGGCACTCGACTCGCCGCCCGAGTACTGGCGCATCACCCGGGACGCCACCCAAACGCACGGCAGCGGCCGCACCAGCTGGAACAACATGGAGCAGTGGGTCCGCATGGCGTACCTCACCATGAACCAGCGCGCCGTCCGCGATGCGTCCGTCTCGCTGAACGGTGTCTTCCCAGAGGGGCAGGCTGTGGACCTTGGTCGATGGACCGTCTTTCGCCTGGGCTTCCGTCCGTCCACGGCGGGCGACTGGCAGGACGTTGCTGGCGCTCTGCGTGACTACGACCTGCGTGCCAAGCCCTGCCCAGAGTTCCGTTTCCTGCCTCGCGACGACCGGACAATGTGGGACTGTGTGCAGGCTGATCACGGCGCTCTGCCCATGTCTGCGGCCAGCAACATGCATCACCTCTCCCGCCGTCTCTCGTACGACGTTGCGTACCAGCTGGAGGTGTGCATCTCGCACAACATTCTCAACGAGAGCACGCTTGACGTCGTCTTTCTCGAAAGTCTCGCAGCCCTGACCCCGGATCGGGCCACACGTATGCTGGAGTATGTGGCCGAGCGCGGCAAGCGCATCTACCAGCCGCACAGCATCTTCCGCGATCCCCGGGCCGCATCGTACTGGCGCAAGTCCCCTCCCGATGCGTCGCTCGACAAAGACCGTGCCGTCTACATCCGCAAAGCCATCGTGACCCCGACCACAATCATCTACTCCACGCCCGCACTCGAACCCGGAAACCGCGTGCTGCGCCATTTCCGCGAGCACCACGACCGTTTTCTCCGTGTGCAGTTTACAGACGAGCTCCTCATTGGGCGGCTCAGTGGTGGTCGTGACGGCAGGCGGACGGATGAGTGCTTCGTGCGGGCCTTTCGGGCCCTGAAAAACGGCATCTGCGTCGGTGGCCGCTGGTTCGAGTTCCTGGCCTTTGGCAACTCACAGCTGCGCGAGAACAGCACCTACTTCTTTGCGCCGACCGAGCTTGTCTCGTGCCAGGACATCCGGGACTGGATGGGCGACTTTCGGAGCATCAAAACCGTCGCCAAATATGCAGCACGGCTGGGCCAGTGCCTGTCGACCACGCGGCCTGTGCCTACCTTTGGTGTGCCGACGACGGTGCAGCGCATTGCCGATGTCGAACACGGACGGTTTTGCTTCACAGACGGCGTCGGCAAGATCTCCAAGTGGTGGGCTCGCGTCATTGCCAGCCATCTGCGGGTCGACAATGTGCCCTCTGCCGTGCAGTTCCGCATGGGCGGCTGCAAGGGAATCCTCGTCGTCTGGCCCGATGTGCCTTCTGGTCAAGTGGTGCAAATCCGGCCGTCGCAAGAAAAGTTTCCAACTCTGGACAATGCCAACATCCTCGAGATCATCCGCTGCTCGGAGACTGCCACGGCGACCCTCAACCAGCAGACCATCATCTTGCTGTCCACACTCGGGGTCCCGTTGTCCGTCTTCCTGGACTTGCTCCACGAGGAACTGGCCGGTCTCGATGCCGTCATGAACGACCCGCAGAAGGCGGTGGATCAACTGATGGTGCGCGTCGACCAGAACCACATCACGCCCATGATTGCCGACATGGTCACGGCCGGCTTCATGACGTCGGACGAACCCTTTGTCTGGTCCATGCTGCAGCTCTGGAGGTCCTGGACACTCAAGGCGCTCAAAGAGAAGGCACGCATCAGCGTCGAGAAGAGCGCATTTGTGCTGGGGTGCGTCGACGAGACAGATACACTGCGTGGCCATACGCAACCCTGTGGCGGGATACGCCGCAACGGTGCTGGCGAGCCACCCGAGCCACCCGAGCTCCCTCAGATTTTTCTACAAATCCCAGACCTGACCAGCAAGCCCCAGGGCGGCGTCCACATCTTGACGCGCGGCAGCAACAACAGACACAACGTTGGTGCGGCCAAGGGTGGCCAAACGTACAGAGTCATCACCGGCTTTTGCCTGGTTGGCCGCAACCCATCGCTTCACCCGGGCGATCTACGGGTCGTGGAAGCCGTCGACGTACCGGCCCTGCACCACCTTCGCGACGTGGTCGTCTTTCCGCGTACTGGTGACCGTGACATTCCCAGCATGTGCTCGGGCGGCGACCTTGACGGCGATGACTACTTTGTTTTCTGGGACGAGCGCCTGCTCCCACTGCGCAAATTCTGGAACTACGATGCAATGAACTACGATGCTGCCCGCGAGCCGGACGTCGACGAGGTGACGCCGCGCCATCTCATTTCCTTCTTCGTGCAGCACATGAAGCACGACACGCTGCCGCGCATTGCCATGTCGCACCGGGCGTATGCCGACCAGCTCGAGGACAGCGCCATGAACCCGCGCTGCCTGGAGCTCGCACAGCTGCACTCGCAAGCCGTCGACTACGCCAAGACCGGCGTGCCCGCGCTCATGCCGCACCGACTCGCGCCCAAGGGCTGGCCGCACTGGATGGGCCGGACGTTCAAGCGAACGTACCACTCGAGGTCGGCGCTCGGCCAAATTTACGACGAGGTGCAGGTGGAGACGTTTGAGCCGGCGTACGACAAGCCCTTTGACAAGCGCATCCTCGAGCAGTATCCCGACCTGGATGCGGATCTCATGCATCGTGCCCGGCGCATCAAGACGCAGTACGACCTGGCGCTGCGGCGTGCCATGGCGCAAAAGGACATTGAAAGCGAGTTTGAGATGTGGTCTGGCTTTGCCATGAACAAGCCGCGTGTCGGTTCCGATTACAAAGCTGCCGAGAACCTGGCGCGTCTCTTCCGTGTGATCACAACGCGATTCCGACGCGTGTGTCTGCGCGAGGCCGGGGGCGACTCGCAGGACCTTGCGAAGCTAGGGCCTTTCTTGGCTGCCATGTACAAGGTTACGTCGGAGGAGGTTCGCATTGCCCTGCACGAGTTTGCTCTGGCCAAGAAGCGCGCGCGTCCCGTCCCAGCGGACATTGACAACGAGACGTCGGCCGCGTCTCCAGAGGATCGACTCAGTCACCACAGTGCGCCGCTCATCAGCTTCCCATGGATCTTTTCGCGTGAACTGTGCTCCCTTGCGACGACAGCCGATTCGGCTTGCGCGGCCGACACCATCGGGTGTGACGACAAAGCGAAGGCAACGGACAACAAGACGAAACCCACCGAGACAAACACGGGTCAACCAGACCGCCTGTTGACAGCTTCTGAGCTACGTGCCATGGAATACCGCGTAGTGAACGGTGTGCCCACGCACTACGGCATCCCGCTCGACATTTCGGCATACGATGGGTCCCGCGAGGAGGAGGAGGGGGCCGACATGGACGCGGGCGAGTATGAGCCGATGTGGACTCTGCCGCCAGGCAAGTCGGAGAGTGACGTCGTGATTGAGATGGTTGCGTCGACAAAGACGAAGCCTGAGAAGCCTGAGGAGAGCGACGACGACGACGGCGAGCAAGCCTACAAAGACGCCGACTACGACTTTTTCACTGGGCGTGTGAGCAGCCGGGCCATCCATCGTGGCCAGCTCAGTCACCAGCAGGCCAAGCTGCTCCGCCAATTGCAAACGTCCATGGCAGACAAGACTGGCGGTAACGGGCATGCTGTCGACCATGGTAATTTCCCCTGGGCGGAGATGGAGGACGACATCTTGTCGACCACGAGCGAGGAGAGCCGGGACGAGAAGGTTCCTGAGACGATCATCATCAAGCGAGAAGACGACGAAGAGGACGAGGTAGTACAGGCTGCGGTCGAAAAGGCGACCCACGAACTACCTGGTGGACTGGCGAAACCGCTCGTGCAGACTACGGAGATTATTAGGGCGCATACTACGGCGCGGAGCGCATCACTGCTAGACACCATTGACACGGTCGAGCCCGTTGCCCTCTCGCAGGATGTGCACGACGACGCCGACGATGAGGACGACGAGAACGACGAGAATGACGACGAAAACGACATCTTTGCTACAATTGACAATCTCTTTGGCGGGCGCGAAAAGAGGGCCAAGCAGGGCCAAAAGAATGCGGAGCATCACAGTCCGGAGCAGGCGGCAACCATCGCGACTCTCATTTGATGTTCAATTGTCTGGAATGGCCATTTGTTTACAAGGACGAATATGGGATGGGGCATACGAGGGCGAGCATGGCAGCAGGAACGACGGTGGCGAGATGATGTTCACAGAGACAGACAGTAGGACCAACTATGCGAGCATATGTGGAGTGCTTCGTGGTCAACAAAACATGGATAGCTGCAATACGAAGTACGACCCTTTGATTATGCTGTACGGGGTGCTTGACTGCTATGTTTGCGTCCATAAAATGAACTTTGTCGTAATGATCGCTGTCGACGGTCAGCCGTGTCAAGGCCCACGTCTCGTTTCCTGGGGCCTGAGCTCATTGCCCTTGCCATGCTACCATGTTGCGTTGCCCTCGCTTATCCAGTGTTTTGAAACCGGGCGTTTCAAAGGACTTGCGCCATCAAAGCGCAGGTTGTAGTAAATGTTGCGAAACAATATTGCCTGTCTGCAATTTGCACACACAAAAAGTACGTTGTCCAGATCTTGCTCATTGTTAAGCTTTTCTTGGCATGCCGTCCCTGTGTTTCTTTCGAAGCAAATCGCGTGGTTTTGTATGCCAACGTACTTTTGTTGGACGACGTTTCGTCCCCCGCGCTTTCAGACGGCCTTCCCTGTGCGGCCAACAACATTGTATCAGTTGCCAGCAGGCACGTCTCGTCACTCGCCGCTTCCCCGTGAACGTGAAATCATCGTGGGCTCTCCTTCATTGGACGCCCAACGAGGTTGGGGTAGTCCTGGAAAGTAGATGCGCCGGGGCTGCCTCCTCGACGAAAGATGAGCGAAAAACACGCCACAAAAGGGGATGTGAGTATTTATGCTCAGGGAGGATCATGGTGACTTGGTCTGCTCGGACGAGGAGAGAGTACAAGCCCGACTTTTCCCCCAGGAAGCATCATGAGTTTGGGTTGGCAGTTGGCAGGACGTGACAAAACGTGACGAGACGTCACGGACGGTCCGGTCTTGAACAGGCGATGGCTGTCGTCAACAGAGAGTAAGTACTTTTTTATCCTCCGCAGGTGGGCATGTAGAAAGGGGGATTCATTAAAGTGCAGTCGAACATGCCCCGTGGGGGGTGTAGACCTTTGTTTTCAACTGGACAAACCTTCGTTGGACGTCGTCGTATGTTGCAAATATCGCGCGGAGCTGGCAGTCAAAGCAACGATCGGTGGCGAACGAGGCACACTGGGCTCGGTAATGCTCCCGTGTCTTGTGTTTGTTCCACTTTCCGATGTGGATAATGGTACGACGGTGTCCTTTGCTCTTAGACCCAATGACCAACGCACCAGGAAAGACAGGCCCCCAGGGATCTCGATAACCTTTGTGGGACGATTGCTGTTCTGCTCCGGATCCGGCGTGCGTGTACTTGTACTGTTCAAGTGTTTTTTCTCTTTTTTGACGCAGAAACAATGCGGATGCAGGTTGCCAAATTGACCAAACTGGTTTGGGTGCACGACAACGAGAACGCCCAAGAACATTTGGAATGACCAAATGACAACCTCACAACCTTGCCGTCAACCAAGAGCCACACCCACACCCCCACACACTCCATTGGTGAAGGATACTGGTGGAAGATACGTCAGGATACGGCCTCCCTGCCAGCCTGTCTGCCCTCCTGCATTTCCGGATGTCTTTCCAGCCGAACCAACATGCCAACTTTCCAAGGCCAACGACGATCCGAGGAAGACGACAGCCGGCAGGCAGTTCTGGTCGTCAGGCAGTCACGTCGTCAAGGCATGCATTTGGCCGGAGCACGTTCGTGCCGGTGATCAACTGACGGAGGACGGAATCGCGACCGTTGCACGTTGTATTCCGGCGAGGCGCCTTGCAGGATGTGTGCATGCAGGGCCGTTGATCGTCGGGCGACGGGCAGGGGCGCCAGGACGCTCGCGGCCGGCGGAGACGACATACTTTCCCGATTCATGGCAAGAATTTGTCAATCGCATTCTCCTAGATCGTATTGCGTCGTAAGATTGTCTTCCGCCTTGTTTCGTTTTTAGACAAAAATGGCCTTATGGTCGCTTCCTTTGCCAGTCTAGGATAGTGATCTACAACTGGGTCAAGGGGGGGAAGGGTGTTGATGGGGTTTTGGAGGGCTACATTCAAGGATGTGGCCCATGATGCTGGCTCGTGGACGGCCACAGAGGATTTGGTGCTTTGTTTCCCGATCGCCTTGCAGAATGGATGATGAAAGTGTTGGTAGTTTGCCCACAGCCAACCAAGAAACAGAGTGGGAGAGAGTGGGAGGGAGAGAGTGGGAGTTGGAAACAACGTCGGGTAGATCATTCTCCACCCCACTAAGCCAACCTCCCAATCACCAGAAAAGGAAGGGTAGCGAGGGCAGGCAAACTACAGGAAGGAGCCAGGCGCCAGGGAGCGCACCACACGATTTGCTTGCGCACATTGTGCCGCACCTTAGGGGGCGGCGACGACCGCTGGAGCGCTGCTCCGCTGGAAAGCGCTACTTCCCTCGCATGCATCGAAAGGTGTTAAGCGAGGTGGGCTTTGTGGGCTTGGGAGGGCAGGGGAGCGCGATAAGGGAAGGCGCGACGAACCTTTTTGCGCAAAAGAGGAAAGCGCAAGGGATCGCCGAAGGGCAGGGTGGTCAGCCCGTTTTTCCTGGTCCCACGGCACAGGGTTGCATCCTTCCGGTGCCCATGTCTTGCCATGTCGGCAGCGTCCTGCCCTAGGTAGGCCCTGCCACCTGCCACCTGCCACCTGCCACCTGTGTCTTGCCAGCCTGCCATTTGCTTCCGAGTTCTGTATCCGCATTTTTGCTGATGTACATCGAGAGACCACGCGTCCCAGGAAAGCATCATACAACGTACAGATCATTTGTGACCCGGTGCTCTCTCCGCCAGTCCCAGTTATCGAGCAAAGCCCCTCCAAACTCGGCCGAGTAGCGTGCTCCAACGCCACCGATGGCCATACTTCGTATATCCGTGTGCCGTCTCACATGGATGAGGGATGCTTCTTGCAAATCAATGGGGCTCACATCAATGGGGCACCAATGGGGCACACAATGAACAAGGGACGGGGCCCGACGGCGCGCTGATGAACACCTTGTATGAAGTATGGCGTGGGTGGGTGGAAGGTGGCTCGGGTGGAGGACACTTGTGCACCAAGGCTCTGGGGCCCCAAAAACGACGAGGGACAGGTGGAAGCGACACGTCACAAAAAGTTTAAATCGAGGAGACAGCAATAAGAACATGTTTCGGGGGATTGGGGTCGGAGAAGGGAGCGCTCCAACACTACGAAAGTACTGCTTTGCGTGCTTTTCTTTGTTTTCTCCTTTTGCTTCCGTTTCCCTTCGTCCCCGTCTTCCTTTTTTTTTTTTTTTTTTTTCGAAATGTCGGTCAAGACAGCCGCCAGCGGTTGACGCGGGATAAAACAAAGGGCAGATCCTCACAAAGACGAACAATGGGCACTACCATGTACGACACGATATAGTTTCCCAATTGGGAAAAAATCAATATGTCTCGGTGCTGAGTGGCGCTTGTGCTGCATGTTTTTGGGGGTTTCCTTGTGCAGATGAGCTGAGGTGTAGGAAAGTACACATGTACGATTTACAGAATATGCATTTAATTCTTTTGGGTACGGGTTGCATTGAAGAAGAGAGAAAGTGATCGACAGACATACATGTACACGGCAGTGGGTACAGGAATCTCTCTTTCTTTTGGTCTCCTTGTCACAGTGCTGCTTTCCTTTATTTTTACAGACCGCCCTCGCCAAAAAGCTTGAAACTGGCAACCCAAAGCAGAGTTCCGAAGCCTCTAGACGTGATTAATGAGCTGATGAGCTCCTAAACCAGGCGAGCCAGGATCAGGATTCAACGGCGCTCCAGGATAGGCGATGGGAAACGCCACCGTTACCTTTTGGCGATCCAACCCATGGTAGACGCCGTTTAGCGGCGTCGGTTTAGCAAGGGGTGTATGTATAAAGGGAGAGGCTACAGTGGCAAAGTGCCAGTAACAGTGACAATTGACAAGACAGTGTGACAACGGGTGGAGAGCAGGAGATCACTTGGACTTTGAATGTGGTGACGAATGGGCACAGACTCATCTGTAATTGCAGGATCTTCAGGTAAGAGCATCTCGACCGTAGTTCATCCCTTTATTTGGCTCAGGTTTTGGCATCGTACGATGCACGTACGCTTTCTTTTCCCTCTCTTCTTCAACATGCCACGACCTTTGCATTCTTCACGTGCATGAGCAAATTCTTTTTTTATTTTCTTCCAAGATGAGATCGTCTCGTCGGAGATTCTAGCTGCATGTGCTTTAGAAGATAGGAGCAGGAGAGGAGGTTGACCAAACGATGTGCATTGTGATTCGATTACAATGGGGGTGGCTGAACAACAAACGGCACATGAGCAGACATCGGGGAGGCGTCCTCCAGGACATCCACAGCCAATTCTACCCAACTCAATACGAAGTATTTCGTAGTGTAATTATTCCTTACAACGTACATATACAACATACGGCGGTCGGCAATAATGTGGGCACACATCCCTGTGATCGACCACTCCCGACGATGCTGGCGATGCATTCCCTGCATCGGTGAGAGTGGAGCCGATGCCTTCGTGTCTTAATCGTACGCATAATCCTTCCAGTCAGGCAAGGAGATATTCGGGGGCCAGTTAGGTAAAAAGACAAGGCTCGCATTAGCGATGAGGGAGTGACAGAAGCATAAAGGTATCAATTTTAAAGTTATCCGATGTTTGAAATGAGCGTGAATATTTCGTACATAAGCAAGTGAATAAATGGGTATTTCTGGGGTTCGATGCGTTTATATTGCTGTTATTCCTGAATTCAAATATTTTAACAACCTTCTTTTCTGCGATAGTAACTTTAGCATTGCCAAACATATTAAGTACGATGTACCGAAAAGATGTCAAAAGCCTTTGCAGGATTGTGACGCCACAAAAAAAAGCGTTCCCACTGCCCAATACGACTTACGTCTTGCTGTTTGCAGTCAATGCCCAACGTTTGCTATCCGACGAT